TGGATCAACCTTAGTGGAGTGACCAACTTGTCTACTCACTCGAATCGGTAATACACAAACAATGCAAATTTTAACTTAATGGATGGCGTTTCTTGAATACACGTTTTATCGATATCTTGATGCAAGTTTATCATCACCTCATAAACTTTCTTTTTCACCCATCTCTTTATAGACTCTAACAACAATAAAGACCTCCACTGCAAAACTTCAAAGAAGACGATTATTTGGGGGTATCTATGTGCAGTCTTCCACTCTCGAGCCTGACATTTCACGTTTTGCTGTCTCAGATGGTCACGGCACCCGCAAAGTACGTGATTTAACTGCGTTTTAGTAATAACAACTTGTTGATGGAACAAATTTTATTGCCGGTGTCAAAGATGAAGTTGTCGTATCGCTTCAGGTTGTTCTGTTGCTTGCATGTGGGTCACAGCAGAGACCCCAAGTCTCGAAGTTTAACCAGACAGCTTACAGAGAAACGCTGTTGCTTACCTATATTTCTTTACACTGTATCTGAATTTCTGTAAATTTGATTATTATAAAGAAGCAAGTATGACATGCATTAAAAAAGGGAAATCTGTTATTTAGTTCTGAAATGATTGATGTCTAAACATTTTCCCGCCCTTTGTTATTCTTGTATGACTTCCACAGTGACTCTACCTGCTGTATGTGACATTTTTAAAATTTTAGAAAAGTAACCCAATCATCATATAATTAGGCCCATGTTTTTGGCTCGCAGCGGTTTAGGAGAGTTATTCAATATGACGGACGATGTCATAAAATTGGAAGTCATATTAGGTGCTTTGCGAACCAACTGCTTTGAAGATCTCACTTGATAACGTTTCATGCGAAAACTAATGACTACACGTACGGTAAAACGAATAGCACGTGTACTATAGAAAAGTAAATTAAAGACTTCTGTCAGAATTAAAGTAGCTAGTACATTCAGTTATTATTGACGTAAAAACCTATAGAAAAAATATCTTTTCCGCTTTCATTTTCTCGATCTGGGTTGAGAAATTACAGTTGTCCAATTCAGTAAAGGACAAACAGTCGGATATTTAAGCCATGTTGTTGATTCATTTTCAGGTTAAGAGAAATGAGCGAAACTATGATACGTATGCGTGTAAACAAGTTAGCAAATAGTCAAAAAGATACTAAATGAAATAAATTTCGCTCTTTTCAACGAACTTAACCGAAAATCTCGAAACATGGGACTTTAGGCTTTTTAAGAAAGTCTAAATTCAGTTCCCGCAACCTGTTTGACTAGAAGGTGTACCTGTTATGCTTTGTTACTATTCAGACCATGGAGGAACAGAAACGTTCATCGGTTTACACTGTTAACTATTATTTGCTTTAAAACCGTATTTCCGTCACATATTTCTTGACATCTGATCTTTAGCTGAAAGACCGAGGTAAAACAAATTATGAGTGTCAGTCAAGTTCTAGCAGTAATGTGCAATGTCTTACATTATTTTTGTTTATAAAATAGGCATTCAGTAGAAATTATCAGTGAGATAATTACTGAAGAAACACAGTATTATCTTTCCTTGTGCGATACACAATTTTGTGCATTGTGAGCGAGTTATGCGGCCTTTCCTGATTTGGGAGACAGAATGCATGTAGACTATATCATAGTAATTGCTGTTAACGTTTTCTTGCATATGGCACCAGTTTCGTCGATAGATAAGGGTAAAATTTACATTTGACGATACTATTAAGTTACTTTTCGCCAGGTACAGAAATTCCTAAACATCACAGGAAGCGTCTGGGCAGTAGTAACCTAACGTACGAAAACGTCCAAGGAGAAATTTAACAAAAAAAATACAAAATACAAACAAAAACTGAAAGGTTAGAGTGGGGCCGGGAATGGTAATATTTAAAAATGGAGGCTAAATTTTTCAAGATGTGCCATCTGTGACATAGCCTTTTTATGATCTAGATTTCTCAGCTTACTTACCCCTTCTGGCATTTTATTGAGACATTTAAAAGCAAAGAATAGCGGCCGTTAAAACTCGTGAGAATCGCGAGAGAAAGATCGCGTGACGTTTGCGGTGAAGAGTGTTTATAAAGTAACGACTCAAGAGGACTCAATACCACCGTCATTTCTTTAGTACCAAAAATAAAGGGAAAGTGAACAGTTAACCTTCTCTACCCATCAGCAATAGTTTTCAAGATTTTCAAATACCAACCAAGTGAAAAGAGCATACATTACCAAAGAAGAAATACTGGCACCTGATATATCAACCCCAGCACCTGTCATTTTACGCAAATGTTACTTGTTTCATTATTCCAAAACACGTTCACGGTTTCAAAAGATATCAACGAGGAGAAACTACAAATATTATCTATATTTCATCGTTTTAAACACTGATTTGTTTACTCTGGGTAATGGTCAAATAAATTTAGCCTTTTTGAGTAGCTGATGTTGTTATACTAATGTTTATACACCTGGCGATATATTCCTGTTTCGTTCACAGAGCGTAGGAAGCGTAATCTTTGTGTACGTGTATGTGCATGTTAACTTCAGCAGCTGAAGCTGAAGAGGTTTATCTTACACCCAGGTCAAAACAACTACTCACTTCTGTCAGAAATGAAACATAACATGGGGGCCACCGACTTCAGAGATAAAATAAAATGATCTGGAAAACTGGCGCAATAAACTTAGCACGGTATTCAGAGTTAAGTAAATTAAAGAGCAGTCAGAATAGACAAAATACAATGCCATATTTAGTACAAATGGTTCTATTACGTTAATAATTCGAATTGTTGCCATCGTTGACATAAAGCTTAAGCCTTTAAGAGGTATTTGAAGTCGTCTCACAGCTAAACGAACGACTCAAAAGAGCGGAATTCGATGGTAGGACAGAAATTAAAACTTCTAATAAATTGACCTTTATTTCTTATTTTTTGTGTGTAAATCGTAGAGAAACAGTAGAGAGGTAAGGGTCAACGAGTGTCCAAGGTCGCAAAATTCACATAAAGGTATAGCAACAGCCCCTAGCAATATTATTGTTCACTCTGCTACTTAGCTCGCACTTGGTGCGCGCCGTGGTGGGCGAAGTAAGGATGCACACAGACAATTAGCGCTAACGTCCTTAAAATTAATCATAAGTTGAATATATAAGCACTCTAAATAGCAAAGAGCTATTTGACGAGAAAGCTTTCGAAGCTATGATTTCTCACATGCTCCAACGTCGGGAGAATCGAGAAAGAGAGACCTATTAAATTTTATTCATTGTAATTACTAATGTTGGGCCAAAATTTATCATCTTTTTTGAAGCTACTTTTAGTTTTGAAGTCAGTGGAATTGTAGGCTTTCTGGCGCCTGAGAAACAGGAAGTAAGATCTTCTTTTGTTTCCCCGTACAGAACACATCATTTTGTCCGGGAGGAGCCAATTAAATAATACATAGCATAAACGTCTGAAGTCCGCAGCGAGCAATGCAATCGTCAACCGTAGTGCCGTGACTTGCACAAGGTATTGTGTACATCGCGAAGGGTGTCTAGCAGAGGATAACAAAGGGATAAGATCGTGCGTTTTTCAAATAGAGCGAATGAAGAGATAAGAAAGGGAAAGAGAAAGGAATTTTTGTTGAGATTTAAGACTGTTCAAATGTGCAAGTAATCGAAAGTGAGCTATGGTAGCATCGGGGTTACCGCCGATAACTAATGCCAGGAACCTGTCGTGGTGTCTTAAGATCCCAGCAGGCCTAGGGTGTGGCTCGTTAACGAGCACCCGTTATTTCACTTGAAGATTTAACTGGTATCACGTGGCAAAGCTGGATTTTTAAAATTAACATTTTAACTCGATCACTTAGATGGCATTCTTGCCTCAACTATTGGTCTGAGAAGAGGGTTTAACGTTTCTGGGTGTTAAAACTCTTAATTAAAAGGTAAGTATATACGATGTCGACGGCACACTATGTGTTCTCTTATGTAAGCTATAACATATGTATACATATATTCCTAATATGCCCATAAATTGTTTTTTGATCAACAATAACATAACCTCGGATATCAAATATTCATTTTGTGAAAAACACATCTGATAAACGGCTAAGAGATTTTAAGACGGATTCCACTCAAAGCTGGAGCAAATAAGTGAAAAAATTATTTACTAAAAATCGACTCATAGCGCGGTAACTTTTGGAATACTATTTAAAACATCGCACTTTAGTTCATTTCTCTAAGTGACCCCGCGATTAAATTCTCAAGCGTTCTCGAGAAAATTAATGTCAAATATCGTAAGAATACTTAAAGCGTGTGTTATTGTGTTCAGTTTTCAACAAACGCGAAACGTCTGTTTTAAATGAAATATAGATAACTCCAAGTTCAATTTTCTCTCGCGGGGTCAGTTTGAGAGCTTAAGTCCCGATAAGTTCTTCTCAGCTGTATTCAAAATATTACCATGACATGAGGTTTATTTGGTANTTCAGTTTTCAACAAACGCGAAACGTCTGTTTTAATTGAAATATAGATAACTTCAAGTTCAATTTTCTCTCGCGGGGTCAGCTTGAGAGCTTAAGTCCCGATAAGTTCTTCTCAGCTGTATTCAAAATATTACCATGACATGAGGTTTATTTGGTAACTTAATTTTTTTCCATTATCGCTCAAATGTTTTGCGGAAATCATCTTAAAAAGGATTTTAACAATCGACAGACACGTTCCAAATAACCTGAAATTCAGAGAAGTACGTACCAGCTACTAGTACTCGGACTTGAGGCGCTGAACGATTCAAGTGATGAATATAACACAGTTGCAAAATAGACGATCTGTATTGACAAGAAATGATAATAACCGTCAACTGCGGAGGGGAGGTGCTTTCCGTTAATTCGCCCTCGACATTTGTTACCTACTGCAAATATCTGGCCAATTTACTGAATATAAACTGCGGATTAACTTGTGCTATTTAAGAATTCGTTACAACGAATAAAAGTATCATTCACTCGGTCAACTCAAGTATCAACTCAATCGCAAAGGTCCTTTCTACGCCTCTAAATAATCCGAGTTTGAGATTTCCTTTTCTTTGGCTTTTCACCCATATTAAATGCTTTCTAAAAAAATCTGAAACTGCGTAAAATAAAATACCATAAAAAGGAAAGTTTGACACCACCTAGTTAAGGAGGCTACACATCCCTAGGTCGATATTTTTTCGAACGGGCACCCGTTACCTCTATTGACAATTTTATTTCCTTGACTTAAACGGGCAATGTTGAAATTTATACTCGTAAGTCATTAACGTTGATCGAATTCCTATTTTGATTTATGGCTCTCGTGGTTAAGGAATAATTCAAAAAATTTTGTCAAAGGTAAGAATGAAAAGGTGTGTAATGCTGTTTGAGTTTCACAAGACATAGGTGTATATTTGTTGCACTTGCTTCGATCATTTGTAACAAAGACAACTGCGACCAACGTTTCAAGCGAGAACATTTTCTAAAAAGATAAACTTCTAAAAGCCGTAGTCCTTTGCTTGGTATGTTCAGTCGTGCTAAAGTGTGATAAGTTTCGAACGTTTGGAGACATCATCCTTTTAACATTTTAACTATAAGACAAATTTTGAAAAAATGAATAGGAAACAAGAGGTTGTTTCATATGCACCTAATCGAGGTCTTTTTTCAACAACCTCGCAGCTATTCATTTCTCATGCTTTGTACAGCACAGTTGAGAAATAAACCAAAAGTTGTACCACATCGTTTGTTTTGCAAGGAATCCTTCAGGTCAGTCCAAAAGACAAGATACGATTTAATGCCTGCCTGCCTGCCTGCCTGTCTGTCTGTCTGTCTGTCTGTCTGTCTGTCTGTCTGCCGGCCCACCTGCCTGCCTGCCTACCTACCTACTTTCTGCGTATCACTACCCAACAATCTACTTAAAACTTCTCATCGACACCATTGATGTTGCAAAACAAAGAGTCGGCACACAAAGATGAATTTGGCATCCCTTGGATGTCTGACACTCTTATTTATAGAGCTATTGTGTCACTCGAATGCAGGTAATTTTAGATATATGTTAAACACCATGCGTTGTTGAAATCATTCATGAAATGGATTTTTCGAAAGACATTGGCATCAATATCAATATATCTTCCGAAACTTGGGGCTTTTAAGCAAAACCCATCAAGATGCCTTCACCAACAACCATCTACGA